ATTTTATTTATTTTAAATTATCTTTTATTAATTTTTATTCCCGGGGGGGGGGGGTCCCCGCCGCGGGGACGTGGGGAGCCGCTTGCGGTGACACGGTTAGTGGCGGCGGGACGGTGACGGTGTGACCTCTCCCCTTCTCCAGGGATTTGAAGCTGGGCCAAGCGGCGATGGAAATGTCATTGTCGCGGCACGGGGGCCCAGCGAAGTAAACGCTGCGCCACAGGGAAGGGAGTGGGACGCCGCTGCACCGAGCTCCGCTCCACAGCCGGAGAGAGGGACGGTCCCGAAAAGCCAGTGCAGACCTGGTCAGAGGGGACAGCAAGAGGACCGTGGGGTTTATTCACGCTCCCACGGGCTGCAAGGACCGTGGGACAATATCTGGGGGCTGGGAGCCATCCCACTGCCCGCTTGGAGTTTGGGACATCGGCCTTTTGACCGGACTCTGGTGCCCGTCCGAGCCCGATGAGGAGCCGAGGCCACGCGTGAACCTATGCAGACCAGGAAGAAATACATTTTCCTGACTTTCCTTGCCTCTTGGCTCCTGCTTTTCTTCTTTGGAGGAGACCAGCTGCGCCATTTCGCTTTCTTTTCTGGGAGGAAAACCGAAGCCCGGAGGAACTGGCCCCGCTGGACGGATCGGTCCCTTCTCAAAAGCTTTGCAGACTCCGAGGAGCTCCAGAGCGATGGGGACCCCTCACTGCCATCGCCCCGGGAGCGGCGGGCGGCACGGCTGAGCGTCTACAAGAACAGCAGATGCCGGATGGAAACCTGCTTCGACTTCTCCAGGTGCGAGAAGCACGGCTTCAAAGTCTTCACCTACCCTCGGGAGAGGGACCAGCCCCTCTCGGAGAGTTATGGCAAAATCCTCGCTTCCATCGAGCGTTCTCGGTACTACACCCCGAACCCCGAGGAAGCTTGCCTCTTCATCCTCAGCATCGACACACTGGACCGCGACCACCTCTCGGGTCAATACGTCCGTAACGTCAATGAGAAAATCCGCGCCTTCCCACTCTGGAACGGCGGCCGTAACCACCTCATCTTCAACCTCTACTCGGGCACCTGGCCCAATTACACCGAGGATCTGGGTTTCGATATCGGCCAGGCCATCCTGGCCAAAGCCAGCTTCTACACCGAGAGCTTCAGGCCCGGCTTCGACATCTCCATCCCTCTCTTCCCCAAGGACCACCCGCAGCGCGGCGGGGAGAAGGGGTGGTTGTATCAAGACTCGGTCCCCCCAAAAAAGAAATATTTGTTGGTTTTCAAGGGGAAGCGGTACCTGACCGGCATCGGCTCCAGCACCAGGAACGCGCTGCACCACATCCATAACGGGAAGGACATCATCTCGCTCACCACCTGCAAGCACGGCAAGGACTGGGAGAAGCACAAGGACACGCGCTGCGACAAGGATAACGTTGACTACGAAAAGTGAGTTGGGGATGGGGTGGGAAAGGGGGTCTGATTGGGGGGGACACCCCAAAAATGTTCCTGCCCCTCTGCAGGATGCAGCCGTGCCCGTCTGCGGTGGCTGGATCTCCAGATGTGGGAAGAGAGGAAAGTTTTGGGCTCTCCCGAAACAGATGAAGGTTTCATTTCCATAGTGGGGAGTGAGGCGCTGATTGTTCAGGGCTCTCCTGTTCTGTATTAAAGTTTGAGTAATCTGGTGAGAGCGGCTCTTATCTGCAATCACCGCGGCCGCCTCTAATACGATTTCCCTTTTTCCTAACGCTGATGAATGATGCTTTTCTTCTCCCCCCTCCTGCCTTCCACTAACATAAACATTTCTCTTGGAGATGAGCCCGAAACATCCCCCCATCACTGGCTCCGCTAAAAATCCCACAAAACTGGTGGGTCCTTGGGCATCCCAGCGTGGGCAGCCCTGAGCTCACCCAGACGTGGTGGGGTGGGGGGTCCTCCTGCGTCCCCCCTCGCAAATGGGGATGGCGGCAGCAGTGTGTGATGGACCTGGGCCAAAGTCCTGTGAGTTTGGGGGGCTCCATGCTGCAGGGACGCACGCCGGCTCCTCACCTCCCCGTCCGGCTGCTTGGGACCCGTCACCAGCTGCCCAGTCCAGGGCTGGTAAGCACAGACCCTGTCCCACTGGTGACGGGCAGGTTCCCGTCCCACTGCCTGGGGACATCCCACAGCCACCCAGCCGGAGGAGAGCAGATGGGGAGAGGCCACGTTTGGCATCATCCTCAAAGCGTCTTAGGAGGTGCCGGGAGGTAAAAGTGGAGCCAGGGTGCTGCGGGCATCGGGATTAGCCGGAGCTTCGGGGTGGCTCGGGCACCACGTGGCCCCATCTGGTGGGTGCCACCAGCCCAGCAGGGTCAGCCCCTGCAGCAGAGCCTTTTTGGGGACGGGGCATCGCAGGATGGTGGGAGGTGCCACAGGCTGGCAAGACGGTGGGCTCACGGTCAGCCCCGTGCTGTGCCGAGGGGCGGTGGGATGGGAAATTCCCCTCCCGCCCGGCCCAGGTAATCCCTTAAAGCTGTTTGCAAGTACAGGGAGATTTACACCTCGCCCGGGACGGCTTTAGGCAGCAGATAGACAAGGAACACGTGGCACAGGGCAGCGTGCTCGTGCGTGACCCCGAGCCTCTGCCATCCCAGCTCATCCCCATGGGACACCGGGCAAAAAGCCATCGGCGTCTCCATTGCGCTGGGCCAGCTCTGCCCGACCTCGCGCGGGGGATTTATCCCCTCCTGCCCCGGCAGAAGACGTCCCCAGACCCGGAGCTGGGACAGTGACAGAGTGACGATGGGGACAGGCCAGCGGGGAGGGGACACACCACGGTTGGCAAAGTGAGACCCCAGCTGCCCCCTTCACCCGGTGCATTGGGGACGTCGCCGTTTGTTCAGGGCGGTGGGTGCCGGCGCGGCGGAGAGCTGCGGGGAGCAGAGGAAGGCCTCGCTGGGGGCTCCATCACCCTCCTCGCGCTCACGGGGGCTGCCTAAAACAAACCGGTTCTGTGCCCGGATAAAGGGCGGCTTGTAGCAGTGCCGCAGCCTGGCCCCACTGCGGGCTGCCCCGGGTTTAAAGCAATCAAAGCGGCTTGGAAAAGGCTCTCTGGAGCCGACAGGTCCTCCGGCGGCACCGTGCCTGGCCGGAGCCATGGAGGAGCCAGGCAGAGGGAGCGTGGTGGACGCCCGTCCCAGCTCCTAACAAAACAAGGAAGCCCTGACGGCGTGATTACCCGGAAACCGCAACGCGTCAGGAGCAAAGTATTTCCATCGAGAGGTTTTGGCCCCGCAGCCCGGCCGGCGCCAGCCTCCCCGCAACGGCCGCCCGCGAGGGGAGGCTGCCCACGGCCGCTCTGCCCCTCGGGACTCATCCTGCTGCCCACCCAACCCTGGCAGCGGGAACGGCCCCGCGGAGGTGCTGGGGGTCACGGCCAGGTTTGGGGTCCCCGAAGGAGCGGGTGGCAGCAGGGCTGCTCTGAGGGTGAACGCTGGAAGTGTCCAGCTCCCCGGGATGTGGCTGTCACTGCTGTGGTTTCGTGGAGCGGGGGGGTCTTGGCCTTGTTTGAGCTGCCCTCGCCCCTCTGGCAGGTCGCTCAGCCAGGAGCCGGGGTGTTAACGAGGCACGGAGCACTAATGGGGTTTTTGGCATGCGTTGGAGACGTTGGGGTAGTTCATCCGGGGGTGGGTTTTGTTTGTAAAACTTCGTGCCTTGGTATTGGGGCCAATTTCCCACATGCCGAGGTGCCAGGGTGCTCTAGCACTCGCGGAGGGGACACGTCTCAACCCCCAGGCTGGCACCAGCCCCACGTCCCCACCATGGGGAGACCCTTCCCCCTGGGGACCAGCACATTTCAAGCAGCCCCTTTAGCCTCACGGACCCCCCAGCCAGACCACGCTCATCCCCCCCAGCCCACCCAGGACCCGGCTGCCCTGTCCCTCCCTCCCCGCGGGCAGGAACAGACCGGGTCTGTCCCAACCTAAAGTCAATATTGGATTTTCCGGCGCGGTCGCGGGGACGCGGCAGCGGACGAGCCTCTCCCCATCGGCCGCACAGAAGGGGCTTTCATAACCCCACGGTGCGAGCCCAGCCTTGCGGGGGGAGCGCGTTGCCTGCACCCCTGCAGGCAGCCAGCCCTCTGCCCCTGCCAAAACGCTGCCAGGGCAGGCAGGGTTGGTCCTGCCCGGCAAGTCTGGGCACAGCAAAGGAGTCGCCGCAGTTTCGGGCTCGGGGGTTCGGGCGCTGGCTTTGCATGGGGTTTCATTACAGGCGCGTGGAGGGAACTGGGTAACACCACGGAAAGCCAAGCGCTGCCTGGGTACCAGGATCCTATCCTGACCTCCTCACTTCAAGCCAAATTTGGTTCCTGGCTCTGCCACAGGTTCCCTTTCTGACCGTGGACACGACCCTCCATCACTCAGGGCATCTCTGCTCCACCGGCCCCGCACAGCCGGGGCTTTTCAGAGCCAAAAATCAGCCCTGATTAATCCTAACGCTGCCCTGGGCTGGCCCCGTGCACCCCCAGGAGGGATGCTCAGCCTTACTGGGTGCCAGTGAGACCCCCTGGGATGCTCACAAGGAGGTGGGGGGTCCATGTCTGACCCCCCACCCCATCTCCCATCCCAGGTTCAACTACCAGGAGCTGCTGCACAACTCCACCTTCTGCATCGTGCCCCGGGGCAGGCGCTTGGGCTCATTCCGCTTTCTGGAGGCGCTGCAGGTATGGGGTGGGCAGGGGGACGGGGGACCCCCTCTCTGGGATCCGGGGGCTCTGTCCCAGCCTGTGTGGGGTCCCGCCGCAGGCCGCCTGCATCCCCGTGCTGCTGAGCGATGGCTGGGAGCTGCCCTTCGCCGAGGCCATCGACTGGGGCAAAGCTGCCGTCGTGGGCAATGAGAGGCTGCTCCTGCAGGTACCGTGGCCGGATCCTGCCCCACGCCGGACACAAGGGACCCCCCCTCCCCCCCAGTAATGACCCCAGTGGTGGTGGAGCCCCCAGTTAAGCTTGGGGATGAAACCTCCGCAGCTGAGCCCAGCAGCCCTCCCGCAAGTGGATGCAAGGGGGGTCTCATCCAGCCTGGATGGGGGGTGCATACCCCTGCTAAAGCTCTGGGGAACCGTTCTTCTTGGGGGGGGGGGTTGTTGAGCACCTCCACAAACCCAAAGCCCTTGGGGGGTCCTGGGCCAGATCCTGCTCCAGGGAGAGGAGGTGGCAGAGCCACAGCAGGGCAGTGGCACAGCATCCTTGGCCGTGGGGTGTCCCTTGGGATGGCACGGAGACAAGACAGCCCTGCCGGGGGGCTGGGGAGGAGGGGGCCGAGGTGAGAAACCAGCTCCCCCCTCATCGGCACAGATCCCCTCCGCCGTCCGCTGCATCCACCCGGAGCGCGTGCTGGCTTTCCAGCAGCAGACCCAGTTCCTCTGGGACGCGTACTTCTCCTCCGTCGACAAGATCGTACACACTACGCTGGAGGTGAGCCCCCCACCCCGAAATGTCTCCTCCCCCGCCAGCCCCCAGGGTCACAACCAGGGTGCTGAGTGCATCTCTCCGGCCTCTGGCAGATCATCAAGGACCGGCTGCTCCCACACCGCTCCCGCTCCCGTTTTCTCTGGAACACGCTGCCCGGGGGGCTCCTGGCTCTGCCCGAATTCTCCACCCACCTCGGGGACTTTCCCTTTTACTACCTGCAGCATGGTAGGATCCTGCCTGCCCCAGCTGAGCACGGCAAACTCAGCGCATGCCACACCTATCCTCTCACCACCTTTTTTCAGGCTCCAGCCCCTCCGAGAAGTTTACGGCTTTCATCCGGGCTGTCTCGCCGGGGGGTTCCCTCTCCCAGCCCATCCTCAGGCTCATCCAAGCCGTCTCCGGATCCCAGTACTGCGCCCAGGTGGGGGGAGCTGAGCCCCGCAGCGCTCGGTGCAGCTCCCAGGGATGCAGCGGGAGGGATGGAGCAGGGTCCCGTGGGCTGGGAAGGGCATGGGTGAGTTTAGGGGTGGGAGAGGATGGCTGATGGTGTCACCCTTGGGTGGGCAGAGCTGTCTCCCCAGGCCACCGGGGTGGAGGTGGGACCACCCGTGGTTTTATTCTGGTCCAAACTGCCATGAGATGGTTTTGGGGTGAGCTGGGCTGGAGCAGGTCCTGCTGTGGGGCCGGGGAGGGCTCAGCCGTGGCCGCCCTGCAAACACCAATGCACCAGTGCACCCCAATGGGTCAGCCTGGCCAAAAACCCACAGACATGCTGGTCCTCCCCCCTGCAGATCCTGGTGCTTTGGAGCTGCGAGAAGCCACCACCGCCAAGCGGGAAATGGCCCCAGACCACCGTGCCTCTGACCATCATCCAGGGCAGGGGGAAGGTGAGAAGAGCCGGGATGCGGGCAGGGAGCTGGGGCATCCACCCCATGGCACATCTCAACCTGATATTTCCCCCCCTGTAGCTCAGCGACCGATTCTTCCCCTACGCGGCCATCCAGACGGACGCCGTGCTGAGCCTGGATGAACACACCAGCCTCTCGACCAGCGAGGTGAGGCTGTGGGCGCCGCGGTCCCCAGCCCCATGGAGCTGGGGCAAACCCTGAGCCGAGACGGGAAGGATGCTGGGTGGTCACCCTGTATCCCCTACACCCAGGGACGATGGTGAGCCCCCTCTCGGAGGTCCCCACAGCCGGGTGACACCATCCTCCATCCCGTACCAGGTGGACTTTGCCTTCACGGTGTGGCGCAGCTTCCCCGAGCGCATCGTGGGCTTCCCCACGCAGAGCCACTTCTGGGACCCCGAGCAGAAGCGCTGGGGCTATACCTCCAAGTGGACCAACGAGCTCTCCATCGTCCTCACCGCCGCCGCCTTCTACCACAGGTACCCGGCCGGGGAGAAACCGGCAGGGTGGGGGGCTCGGCTGCATCCTGCCCCCCCCCTCGCTCCCTCCCCCCAGGTATTATCACACCCTTTTCACGGAATACCTGCCGGCGGGGCTGCGGGAGCTGGTGGACGGCCTGGCCGCCTGCGAGGACATCTTGATGAACGTCCTCGTGGCCGCCGTCACCAAGCTGCCGCCCATCAAGGTCACCCAGCGGAAGCAGCACAAGGAAAGCGTGTCCCAGCAGGTAGGGTGCAGGGATGGGGATGCGGGACCCCCGCCCTGGCCAGGGAGCGGAGCCCCTCACCCCCACGTTCCCCTCTTGCCAAGGTGAAGGGCACGACAGGGGCAGCCGGCGGCCGGCGTTTCTCCCAGCATCAGGACTGCCTCAACCAGTTGGCGGACTGGTTCGGCTACATGCCCCTCGTGTCCTCCCAGCTGCGCCTTGACCCCATCCTCTTCAAGGACCAGGTCTCCGTCCTGCGCAAGAAATACCCACGCTTGGAAAAACCCTGAGGGCTGCCGGGGATCGGGGTCGGAGCCGGCCCTGGCTGCCCCGTTCCTGGTGCACGGAGCTCTCCCGGAACAGGCAGTTGCTGCTGACGGGGTTTTACTCGTTATTGGGTTTTACCAGTACAATAAAGGTGGGTAGAGAGGCAGAGTCCGGCCGGTGGCTGTAGGATGCTGGGGAGCGGGCTGTGCCTGGTGGGGAGCACCGGGAGCACCGGCGGGAATTCCGCTGGGAATAACCCGTGTGGCACCCGGCCGTGCACGCAGCCCCCCCCGGCCACCAGCCCTGCGGGGAGGGCCAGTCCTTTGGCTTCCCAAGGGCAAACAGAGGAGCGATAAGAGGTGAGAGCAGGGCGAGTGTGTCCTCCCTCCTCCCAGCTGGGATGGGTCCCCCCGTAGCCCCTGGGGCACCCCAGCACCCCATTGCCTCGCAGCACTCTCCGAAGAAGGGAAAAGGGCCATTTCAGCTGCATTTCCCACCAGCCAAATAGAAATAGGGAAAATTAAGGCTGCTGGCCTCCAACGGCTGCTCTCCTCCGGCCGCCGCAGCCCTGGGTCTGTCCTTGCTGCCTTCATTCCTAGCAGACACCCAAGATAACGCCCCGGTGCCGCCAGAACCAACATCCCCGCCCTGCACGCACCCAGCCCTTTGCTCCGCTTTATTTTCCACGCATGAAAAGTCCCCCTGGGGACACGAAGGGGCTGCCGAAGGGGGCTCAGTCGCGGGGCGGCTGGCACTCCCGGCAGTCCCGCATCTCCTCGGAGTAACTCTCCACCTGGATGGTGGTGGTGTGGAAGCGGAAGGTGCCCTGCAGCCGGGAGCTGGCCTCCTCCAGCACCTCCTGCGCGCTGGCACCCGCGTCTGCAAGGAGCAGAGGAGGGGATGTCGGGGTGTGGGTAGACCCCAAATCCACCCCCCCCCCCATCTTTTCCCCGGGGAGCGACACTCACTGATGGCGATGTGCACCGAGAGCAGCGGCTGTGCCGCCGTCAGCGCCCAGATGTGGAGGCTGTGCACGGCTGCCACCCCCTCCACCGCCAGCAGCGTCTCCTGCACGGCGTTGAAGTCCATCCCTTTGGGGGTGCCTGGGGAGGGAGAGCCGCAGGCCCTGGAGGGACGGGGGCCACCGCACCCACGGGTGGCCCCACGGCCCGCACCCCCCCCGGTGGGTCCCTACCCTCCATGAGGACAAGGAGGACGTCGCGGAGGATGGTCAGCGTCGTCCCCAGCACCAGTGCGGAGAAGAGGAAGGTGCAGATGGGATCCACGTACTTGTACTCGGGCTGGAGGGGGTGGGAGAGGGTGAGGTCCCTCCGGCACCGTCACCCCCACCCCAAATCCCCATCGGTACCAGTGGGGAGAGGACGCAGTCCCCTCCGTCTCACCCTTGTGCCTGGCCAGGGCTGGCCGAAGCTGCTGTCCCCGTATCCCCATCCCCAGCATCCCCTTTGCCCCCGTGACCACCCAGACCTTAAAGAAGATGATGTAGGAGGCGATAAGGACGCCGACACTCTGCAGCAGGTCCCCCACGACGTGGACGAAGGCAGCGCGGACGCTGGCGTTGGGCTGCTCGCCTGTCGCCCCGTGGCTGTGCCCGTGCCCGGTCTGGTGCAGAGCAACCCCCATCCTGCGGGCAGGGCAGCGGTGACATCCCCGGGGACACCGGGCAGGGGTGGGGGACACCGGGAGAGGGTGAGAGCCAGCCCTACGTACACGATGTTGACGGCCACGGCGCAGGCGGAGGTGATGAGCATGACGCTACCCTCGATGTCGTAGTCGGCTGAGAGCAGACGCTGGGCCGCCAGGTAGACCAGGACACCTGTCACCACCCAGATGGAGAGCACGGAGAGCAGGGCCCCCAGAATTTCTGTGGAGAGCCCCCCCCCCAGCCCCACATTGCCGCTTCACTGCCGTGCCAAGCCTGAGCACCCTCCTGGCCCCCCCCCCGGCTGCATCGGGGCTCAGGGTGGGCACCCAGCACCCATCCCTGGGGTTGCTCCCTGCACGGGGACGGCGGTGCCTCTGCTCTGCCCTGCACATGGTGCCGGGGCTTTGTTGGGGCTCCCCGTGCCCCCCAGGGCTCCCCATGCCCCCCAGAGCTCCCCAAGGCACCCAGTCCCCATGGAGAGGGCACCCTGGGATGCTCCAAGCGTTCCCTGGGGTCCCTGAGAGCCGGAGGGCAGCCCCCGGGGGTGATGCCACCCCGTTACCTGCCCGGTGCCAGCCGAAGTTCATGGTTTTGGTTGGGGGGCGCGAGGACACCCAGAGCGCGGAGAGGCTGATCATGATGCTGGCGAAGTCTGTCAGGAGGTGGGCTGCGTCCGTCAGGATGGCCAGGCTGTGCGCCAGGTACCCACCTGCGGAGGGTGGGGGGGCCGTGGGGACATCGGGGTGGCATTGAGAAGGGTTCCCACCCCAAGCCAGGCATGAACCAGGTCACCCAGTGCCAGAGTTGGGGGGGACCCCCACTGGGCACTTCGACCAGCCGAAAAGCAATGGGGAGCCCTGCCCACACCCCGCCTGCACCCACGGGTGGGGAATCGGGACAAGAGGGGCTGCGGGCAGCCACTCGGGGTACCCCCATGGGGACCACCCCGGCCGGACCCTGCACCCACCACTCACCCACGGCTTCTCCCACCATGAAGACGAGGCAGATGCCGGCAGCCAGGTAGAGCTTTCTGCGCGCCCGCTGCTGCTGGTCGGGGTGACCGGTGGCTCCCCGCGTGTGGCAATGCCGGCTGCGCCGTGTCCCCAGCTCCAGGACGGGTGCCTGTCCCTGCACCGAGTTGTGTCCGTTCTTTTGTGCGGCCCCCAGGTAGGACCTGCTGGGGAGAGGGGTGGTCGGGGGCTGGAGCTGGGGGCCTGGGAGAATTTGGGGGAGCGAGTGGGACCCTGAACCCTCTCCCCCCCCCAGCCCCTGCACCTCCAGGGGACCCCACGTGGGAGTCCCACGGGGAAGAAGGGACACA